TAAGATCTGGAAACAGCCCAAGTGCCCATCAGTAGATGAGTGGATAAAAAGCTGTGGGACATTTACACCATGGAACACTATGCAGCTGTAAAGAAGAAGAATCTCCTACCCTTTGGGACAGTATGGATGGACCTGGAGAATATTATGCTCAGTGAAATAAGCCAGGCAGAGAAAGACAAACATCACATGATCTCACTTGTACGTGGAATCTAAAGAACTTAATAAACTGATGAACAGAATAGATTCAATGACATGGAAGCATAGATGAGACTGACGAATGTCAGAGGGATGGAGGAGGGTGGGTGGGTGAAGGGGGAGAGAGTAACCAAGGAATTTATATGCATATATGCACAACCCAAGGACAGGGACAATGGTGGGGAGAGGGACTGAGGAGGGGTATGGGACGGGGTGGAACGGGTCATTGGGGAGAAAAAAGGACATCTGTAATATTTTAAACAGATAAAATTTAAAAAAAAAATCACTGGTTTAATTAAAATTCTTTCCATATGCCATAAAAATAGTGTTTATTCCATACTAAGTGGTTATTTTCTATACTGGCAATATTAGCTTTATGTCTCCAGTTGGAAAAGCACAATTAAAATGTAAATTTAGCAAAATGTAATTGTATGACTAAAGTACAGATCTAGAGAACCTACTAAGATGATATTTACATATGTTGTATTAATGTTTATTATGTGTCAGTTAAGAATTACACATTTACTTTTGAGCTATTTAACCAAACGCCAGTCATTGTGCATCAAGAATCATTTAGTCAATCATTTGAATCTTATGACATAAGAGAACGTTATAGCAGAGAATATACTCACTGGGTGCAGGTGCACCTCATTTTATTATACTTTATTTGCACCTCACAGATGTTGCATTTTTTACAAATTAAAAGCAAGAACCTCCACCAGCAAGAAGATTACAATTTGTTTTATTGAGATACTCACTTTATTGGTGGTGTGCAACTGAGGTATGCCTGTATATGCATTGCATCTTTTCAGCTGTAAGAGTGTCAGTTTTGTTCAGAGCCATGCATCATCATTGAGGGAAATACAGGGTATCCCTCAAAAATGTATACACACTTTAGTAGCTGATAGCTCAATTTTGAAAATGAATTGTATCTTAATAAACACTGCCTTTATAATTATTAAACTGTGTGTATACATTTTTGGGTCCACCCTATATTAGATAGTGATATGAGAGTTTGTGTTGAAGAGGAATGGGATTTTCACATCAGGTACAAGTCGCTTTCAGAATTTCATGGCTGATACAGGAAATGACCATGTTATTTTGAACATTGGTTGGGTAATCTAACCAGAAACCAAAACAAAAAACTAAAGCATTTTGAACCTTTGTCTAGTTTACAGTCATCCTTGGTCATATATTTGGTCCTATGGCTCAAAGGTTAAATCCAGCGTTCTTCTGTGAATAGTTATTGGAACATAGCCATGCTCATTTATTTACTTATTGTCTGTGGCTGTTTTTGGTTGAATAGTATCATGACAGACTGTATAGCCTGCAAAGTCCCAAAATATTTACTCTCTGCCCCTTTGCAGAAAGTTTGCCAACTCCTATGTTAGACTGTTGTATCACACATTAGATGGTTGATTCACACATGATTTGCTGACACTCCTTAGATTGATCCTCTTAAGCTGGATTTGGTCTTTCATATGCAGGAAATTGGGGGTGATTCTGCTTTTAGGGCTTTCCAATAGAGGCTGCAGTTGAGAGAAGGGATTTGCCTTGGCAATGAGTAGCATGCTGTGAGCTGCCTGATGCTCCTACTATGAGGGACTAGGAGCTTGTTTACTTACCTGAGGTGGGCGCCTGTTTGCCTAACTCGCCCTCCATGTTCCTCTACATCACAGTCATTGCTGTTGCTCCCTCTCTCGGGGATGGTCATGGAGTAGCAGGTAACTGGAGAACCTGGATCAGGAGGATCTTCCATGGCAGTCTCTGGGGATAAACACCATTTTTCATACACTTTGCTAATAATGCATCTGGATGTGAAAGTTTAAAGATTAGGAGTAGCTTAACCTTCAATCCTTCCTGGTCCAAGCGGAGAGTTCTAGGTGTGGAGGGCTAGTGGAAAGAGCATATCTGGCTCAATACCCTTAGTCTCTAGTGCAGCTGGCTCACCTCTGAGCTACTGGCCACATCACCTCCAGCACGTGAATGCTAGTGAAGGCTCTTATCCACTTGCTAGGTTACTTACACCTGAAAAATCAGTACCTGCAAATATATTAAAGATTTAAGAATATAAACATTTTTAACTTTTCAAGCACATAACTTCCTTTTCTAATATGTGAAGATATTAATTAAGCTTTGGCTTTTTGATTTTCAGTTAACGTGTATTGAAAGGCATTGCATACAAAAGCAAGGGAGTGCCTGTAAATGAAATTAAATGTAATGATGTCCTAGTAGACCCAGGCCATGCGATCATTACAGCCGAAAGTTTGGGCTAGAAGTTAGTCTTGAGAAAAATATTTGGGGTTATTCCTTTTTTGAAGGGGATTATGATGCTTGCTATAAATTTTCATTAATAAATGTCAAATTATTTTTGTGAATACAGAAGATTATAGTATTTTTTATAAAATATTTAAGATGGTTTTAGACCGAAACCTCTGAAAGTATTTGAAATGTGATGATTTAGTTTATTCTTTGTGATTTAGGTCTAGATCTACGCCCAAATGCCTTTCTGCTGGGGATAGTTAGTTATACCCAACCTTATTAAATCTGTCTGTGCTAAAAGAGGAATTCTTCTGGTGGTTGACTTCCTTTTCCTGAGGTAACAAGAAGTTAGGGACCTGTATTTGGCACAGCATTTTAGATTGTGATATTTCTAAGTGCTGCTAAGGTTCGAGGACCCTGGCATTTATTTTTACTTTCCTAGTATGAGAAGGCAGTGAAGGCAGTGTGTTAATGGAAGCAGGCTGAATTGCTTCCCACCGAAAACGGGTTAATGAAGATACCAGTAAAGATAAATCTCTCTCGTGTGAGTGTTGTAAAGTACATTGTTTAAATTTTCACTTAGCTATGTTTCTGGTATGTGATTTTTAAAAAAAATATGTTTTTATTTATTTCAGAGAGAGGAAGGAAGAGGGGAGAGAGAGAGAAACATCAGTGATGAGAGAGTCACTGCCTGCCTGTCTCCTGCACACCCCCTACTGGGGATCAGGCGGGAAACCCAGGCATGCACCCTGACCAGGAATTGAACTGTGATCTCCTGGTTCATGGGGCAACGCTCAACCATGGAGCCACATCCGGCTGGGCTGGTATGTGATTTTTTATGTGTATTCCCCTCCCCCTACTAACTTTCATTCCTTTTTCATCCTAGATCAGCGACTATTATCAATTCTACAAGATGAGTAACAGCCACCCTCTTCGCCCCTTTACTGCAGTGGGGGAAATCGATCATGTGCACATTTTGTCTGAACATATTGGTGCCTTGTTGATTGGGGAAGAATATGGTGACGTCACATTTGTTGTGGAAAAGAAACGTTTTCCTGCCCACCGGGTAATTTTAGCAGCGAGGTGCCAATATTTTCGGTAAGGCTGTTATACTTTCTGAATATTCAAGTTAACTTGTGGAAACATTGTTATTTTTTACTCTATAAAAAATATGTAACATAGCATAACAAATAATAGCAATCCTTCCATTCAACATCTATAAGAATTTTATCTTTGTAGACTTTTTGTTATTTTTTGAAAATCACTATTTTCTTCAGAAGTCATTTTAGAATTATAGGGTAAAAAAGGCTTCTCAGGCTAGACTGTACCTGATCCACCAATTTTCAAGATCTCAAGAATATTTCTTAGGCTGGATTATTAACCTCACCTTCTCACCATTAATCACTAATGGGAAGTTAAATTGATGTGTTGGCATGTAGGCTTCTCATTGTACAGACACGTGGCCCTCTGGGCTTGGTAATAAACTTGAATACCTCTTAGTTTCAGGCTACTGAGATCCAGGACCTGTAGGTATCCCAACAGATCTCTCTCTAAAATAAGGAGTTTGATAACCCCAAATTAAAGGAAACAAATATTTACTGAGACCGTTTCATAGTTATAGTAGAACTAAAACTAAACAAAATATTTATGTATTTAATTAATGTAAAGATTGTACTTATATGAAGCTATTATTTGTTACTCAAACCCTTAATTTCCAGGGTTATAAATGTTAAAGTGAGCTCTAATTACTCTGTGTTATACCTAATGTTAATTAAAAGGGAGTCATCACTGAATGATAATGTATCTTTGATAAATCTATTGGTCTATATCCATAAAGTCATTGATTTGCCTAGGAAACTTGATATCTAAAATTGAGATGCCGATGGCTTAGAGAAAAATTTGGGTACTTTCTAGTGAAAACTGCAGTCTGAGTTTTATAATCAGAAAAAACTGAGACAGCGAAATAGCAACACCTAGAGTCACACAGGAAAGTATGTCTCTAAGAAATATTTACTACTGAACGAGAATTTTATAGTGCTTTATAAAAATTTGTAGAACATTCCATCTTGTACATATAAAGTGCCACTGTAGATGAAACGAGGAGCCTAGAAAAGAGAAGAGTCTGTTAAGAGTTCTTGCTAACACTCTCCTATTCTTCTTGCTAGTGGCCTTGGTTTCGTCATTATTTGTTCCCAGCCTCTGCACTTTTTGTGTTTCTTTCCCATTTCTTACTTTTGGTCCACTCACTACTAATAAAGTGTTTTTTGAAGAGTCCATTCTTTATTAAGTCAGAACTTTCCAGCTTTCTGTTTAATATTTGTTAATAGTTTATACCTTACCCTCTTTCAAAAATAATTTGAGACAACTATATGTGGCTATCCTTTAGGTGATCCATTTATTAAAAGAAACTCAAATACTTTAAAAAAATTGAAGATCATATTGAATGAGTGGAATATACTCCCCTCACTTGTTGACCTTGTTCTATGTCTTTTTGTGGATGTTGTCTGATGGCTCATGAGGCTAAACTCAGAGTCATTACCAGTGCTGTCTTAAATTCTCATTGCTCACACCGTTCTCTGTGCAAAGGTAGATTAACTTTCAGTAGTTGGGAGAGTCTTTACTAAGTGTTGTCATAGAGCCTGTCAATTCCCAGATAAGGACAAGCTGACTTTACAGGAGGGAACTTCCCACAGTTGGGGTTTATATTTAGGATTCCAAGGAGCTTCATCAAAACCACTTCTAAAGCATTGAGAATCCATGTAAACATCATGGGTCATGCTGGAGTAAGTCTTGGTGAGATCTTCCCAGGAATGCGTTTTTAATCTAGCAATTTTAAAGTTGTGGTTAGATGTTCTCTGGATTAATGAAAACCTTCAAGGGTGTTTTTAGGCAGAGTATAACCCAGTGAAGAGCTCTGCTCAGGATATTCATGACTCTTTTTGCTGGGTGGTTTCAGCTATTTTCCTGAGCCAAGCAAGAATGCTGGATCCTGGGGGAGGGTGAGAAGAGTTCCTAGCAGGTGTGGAGGGAACCTTTGAACTGCTAGTCCTGCTCCGAGAATGTTAGGAGCAGGGGGAATATCTATTTGCCCCCTTATTCTCTTGCTTTCACTTTTACGTGTTTTCTTTCTCTTTACTCTTCCTTTTCTGCCCTCCTCCCTTGTCATCCTCTGGCTGTCCCTTCTTTTCTGATAGAGTGAAAGTTTAATTGGTTCATATTATTTCTCTAGAGTAATAGAGATAGAAATTAAAATTCATTACTTGACTGAATTGTCTAGTTTTCATTTTTTAGATGAGTAGATAAGCAATAATATGGGGATTTTTTTTTTAATCTGACAAATACTGAAAGACAAAAAAAATCAAATCATCCATAATTCCATCACCAATTTCAATTTCCTTTTTAATTTATAAAGTAACAATGAAAGTCCTTTCCTCCTAACCATCTAATCCCATTCCTCAGAGACAACCACTGTTAACAGTTTAATATGAATTTCCCCTGATTTTTCTCAGTATAAGTAGATATACCTGTATATATACCTATGTGCATACACATACAAGTATGTGCTATACATTTTTTTACTCAACACATGGATCTGCTCTGCAATGTAACTACTATCTCCTGGACATCTTTCCAAACAGTATATATTGACCTCCCTTGATCTTTCTAATGGCTGCATAGAATGTATATATCAATTTTTTCCCAGTGTTTCCATTGTTTCAGTATATATTCAGCATATATATATATGTTTGTCTTTACAACCATGCTGTATTATGTCTCTAGAACTGTGTCAAATGAGATCACTGAGTTAAAGGGTATGCATCTTTTAGATTTGAAAAGATATTACTTAAATTAGTTTCCAAAAAGGGGTATCCATTTATACTCAAAGCAGTGCATGAGAGAACCTATTTATTGCTTTTGCAGCATTGAATGTAACAGGCTTTTAAATTTCTGCCAGTCTAACAGGGAAGAATGGCACCTGGTTGTGTTTAATTGTTTTTATCTTATTATATCTTTTCTATCAAGTTTTACTTTTTTTATTCCTCACCCAAGGATAGTATTTCCATTGATTTTTACAGATGGTGGAAGGGATGGAGGGAGGGGTAAAGAGAGAGAGAGAGAAGAGAGAGAAATATCGATGTGAGAGAGACATCAATTGGTTGCCTCCCGCACTCGCCCCAACCAGGACCGGGGATCGAACCTGCAACCTAGGTATGTGCCCTTGATCAGGAATCAAACCCCTGAGCCCAACACTTCAACCACTGAGCAACATCAGCTAGGGCTATAGAGTTTTCCCTTTTTTAAGCTGTTTTATTGGCCTTTAACATGTTTATATTGATTTCACTATTCCTCTCAAAAGAGTACTTTTATCACACTGGCTGGTTTGCCTCAGTGGTTGGAGCATCAGCCTGTGGACTTGAGGGGTCCCCGGTTTGATTCCAGCCAAGGGCACGTACCTCAGTTGCAGGCTTGATTCCCGGCCCTGGTCTGGGCATGTATGGGAAGCAAACAATCGATGTGTCTCTCTCACATCGATGTTTCTTTCTCTCTCTCTCTCTGTCTCTGAAAAGCAATGGAAAAAATATCCTCAGGTGAGGATTAACAAAAAAATTTAAAATAAAATAAAATGGTGCAACCCATTTTCCATAAAAAAATTTCTGTGTAATGAATGTCTATTACATATCTTGAGCTTTCAGGGTATTTCTTTAGTCCAGTTGTTTATAGACTTAATTCAAAATAGCTTGTAAGTTATTTCTCTTGGTTTCTTTAGAGAACTTAAAATGATCACTTCTTTACTGGAATCTTTATGTCATTAAACGAATTTGTGTTTGAATAATGTTGATAGCCATGATTTCATGATTTTGTAGCAAATCTTATTTGCGGTGTTTCTCGTGCATTTCTTCTCTGACGTGCAGAGCATTGCTGTATGGCGGAATGCGGGAATCGCAGCCGGAAGCAGAAATCCCTCTCCAGGACACCACTGCGGAAGCCTTCACGATGCTGCTCAAGTACATCTACACTGGGCGGGCGACACTGACGGATGAGAAGGAGGAGGTGCTGCTGGACTTTCTGAGCCTGGCTCATAAATATGGATTTCCAGAGCTAGAGGATTCTACCTCTGAGTATCTCTGCACCATCCTCAACATTCAGAATGTCTGTATGACTTTTGACGTTGCCAGTCTCTACTCATTGCCGAAGTTAACTTGTATGTGCTGCATGTTTATGGACAGAAATGCTCAGGAGGTGCTCTTGAGTGAAGGCTTCCTCTCCCTTTCTAAGGTGTGTCACTGTCTGCAAGTAACTTTCAAGCGTGCGTTGTTTTATTTATATCTGTACAATAGAAATTCAGCAATGGACTAAGAAAAAATGAAAATCGAAGGTGTGGAAGGTCTGTCTAGCCATTTTCCTGTTGCTTCTGAGACTCCAGATCATATCAGAGAAGGGCAGATTGCTACTGTTTTCTTTTAAAGTTCTTCTGGTAAATTCCATGTGCAAAAAAGACTGTGATGCTGGGTGGTTGTTTTTAAATGTGGTCTTGCATACTGCTTTTTGAATTTGTTTTTTGTCAATAAAGAGAATACTGTATTATGAGAGGGAAAATTCATAAGGGAGATCAGATGTGTCACTAGATGTCTTTAAGTTACTGTTTTGTTTTTCTGGCTCAAAATTCACTATTAAATGGTGTTTTACACTGAACAATGGCTAGAGCAAAAGTGTTTTTCACAAATCTTTCTCTGAATCCTGGTGGTTGTCTTTTCTTTCCCTTTCTGTGTTCCTTCTAGGACCTGATGATTTTGAATGAGAACACTTACTTGAAAAGCTACGTCTTGTTCTGAGTTTAAACTATGGTTTTATTATCCTACTTTATTTTTAGAGGCAAGGTCTTTGAGGGTTGCACCAGTGTTGCTGGAGGTCAGTCTGAAAATCTGAGAACCCAAAATATGGTAGTGCAATAATACTGTGACAGAAAAGATTTTGAATTTTAAAGGCCAAATGTACCTTACTGATTCATAAACGTAAACTCTCCTGAAGAAAGTGTGTGGAAAGACAGCCCCTCACGTTGGTATTTATCTTCTTTTATTAAAGATGGGTGCAGATGTGTTGGAAAGACTGCATGTTTGAGGTAGTGGTACAGGATGTGCACAGCTATTCACATAGCCATAATGCACAAGAGAATACGTGGCAGAGAATACGGAGAGAAGGTGGTCAAAAAGAGTCAGTTGTTTACATGTAACAGATACTTGTAGTTCTGTTGTATAATGCACATGGCTGAGCTGCATAATAACTGGAATTTCGTCTTGTTATCCTTTTCAGACAGCACTTTTAAACATCGTATTAAGAGATTCATTCGCAGCTCCCGAAAAAGATATTTTCCTAGCCTTGTTAAACTGGTGTAAGCACAACTCAAAGGAGAATCATGCAGAAATCATGCAGGCTGTGCGTTTGCCTCTGATGAGCCTCACCGAACTGCTCAATGTTGTGAGGCCTTCGGGACTGTTGTCTCCTGATGCCATTCTGGATGCTATTAAAGTTCGATCAGAGAGCCGGGATATGGACCTCAATTACAGAGGCATGCTCAGTAAGTACCTGTTCATCCTAATCTCACCAAAAATTTTGTTTGCATCACATGACAGTCTCAGCTACGAAACTATAGTGCAGGTGTCCGTGGAACATATGGATATGAGAACATACAGCTCTGCTTCCCATGGAATGCCTTTCCCTGTCATCCTCCTGAGATTGCATAGCCATGGTAAATTCCCAAAGAGGCATTTCTTGCCATTCTTGGACAGATTTCTCCAGCTGTTCCCTAGAATGTCAGAAATATTTTCCTCAAAAGCCTTTTCTCATGTGAAGACCTTTCCTCCCTTTCTCCTTCAAATCAGTGCTAAGTACATGCTATGTCATTATTTTAGGCACCATGAACATGCAGACACTAAATAATAAAAATAGCTAACACATATGTGGAATTTCCAACACTCATGTGGCGATTTTTCTTAATAATAAAAATAATAGTAATTAATACTTATAAAGTGCTTAACAGTCCTACATGATTATTTAATTCTCACAGCAATTATTTGAGGTGGGTACCATTATTGGTTCTGTTTTACAACTGAGGAAACTGAAGCACAGAGAGATGAAGTAACTTGCCCAAGCTCACACAGAAAGATTTGTGGAGCTGAGAGTCAGACCTATGTAGTTAGGCTCTAGAGGCTATGCAGTTAACCACTAAACTATGTTGTATAAGTGCAAAATATAGTCTCTGCCTTTGATCCTTTTAATTTCATTGTGGAAATAAGACATACCCCCATGAAAAGTTAAATACAACAATATTCAAGATGGGTACACACTCTGAACTTCGGAAGAGGGTGTGACTTGGAATGATTAAGGGAAATTTCATGGAGATTATAAAGCTTGACGTGATCCTCGGCTTTTGATTTGAATGGCATCGGGGTGGGGTGCACTTCAGGTGGGAGGACTGGTGAGTTTAATAGATAAGAGGTTAGAGCGTTTGAAGGACTGGACAGAAGAGCTTGACTGGTGTAAAAGTCTTATGTTGATTAATAACAAAGTCTGTAAAGGTTAGCTCAGGCAAAATCATGCAGTCTTTGAGACTAGAATGGGATTTTGCTTATGCATAGTGGGAAGCTGATTTTAGAGATTGGGAGAGGCTTGAGTACAGTGGTGGTTTTGAAAGATTGACCCACAGTGCTGTAGTTGATGATTTGGAATAGGGAAAAACTGGATTCAAGGAGACCAGTGAGGAGGGTATGTAACCTGTGCACAGTCGATACAACTTTAAACTAGAGTGGTGGCAGGGAAAATGGGAAATAATGGATTAAAGTTTAAGGGCAAGGGAGGGAGAGGCAGAGGTGGGTGGAGGTCGGCAAAGGGAGGTGGAGAAAGGGGGACACCTGCAATAATGTCAACATTACAAACTTTTAATAACAATAAATATAAAGAGATATTATTTTAAAAATTAGATCTTGGTGATTCAAGTGATTTAAACTTGAAGATTATGTTTAGGAGGAAGTTACCTTATTTTATCAAATCTAAGAAACTAGAAATTCTGAGGCACCATTGTTTTATGCACCACTAAGAAAGGAAACAATATTGCCAATTAAACCATGACACACCCTCATATTTCAGAAATGATAACATTTGAAAAAAAGTGTGTCTTCGAATTGATGAAATATAGTACTTTGAAGACCTTGAGTTTGTTTTTAGTCTTATTGAGTTTGAAGTTTTCTGGGACATACAAGTTGTAAGTTTTTTCTCATGTTAGTCATTTCCCTGAGCAATCTTTTCCTTGACTGTGGCCTTAGACACTCTCTTGAAATACTGATTGATCTTAAATAGGTGTCCCAGCGGGCTTCTCTCCTAACTCATCAGATTTAAATTTCTTTTCACTGGGCACCGAAGAGAAAGCATAGGTTTTGGAGCCAAATTTGACTTCACATTCTGAATTATTCACTTACTAGTTGTATGACCTGGTATAAAATTACATGAGGGATTTTACCTTTAATTTTATATCTCCTAGTATTGTTATGAGAATTAATTGAAATAATGCTCACAAGTAATGTGTTTAAGCTATATATAGGAAACCATTGTTATCGTGTAGGAATTATCACATTGTTTTAAACATTTTTGTTTACTTATATTTAGTCCTTGATGGCAGAGATGATCTTTGTAAACCCTCTTGATCTTTGTACCCTCAACTTTTAACGTAATAGGATGTAGCAGATACTTGGTGAATGAATTCAAGGAAAAATGTCCAGTAACAGTAGAAGCAGGTTACTGGTGTTTAGGAAGCAGTCAAAGCTGGTGAAACCTGGGCTAGAGCATAGAGAAAGAAGTAAAGATCAGAGTCTGTGATGCAGAGAGTCCTATAGGCAGGGGGCTGAAGGTAGAGAAAGAAGAATTAGAGAGGTAGGAAGAGAACTGGGAGAGGGTTAAAGAAGCCACAGAGGAGCGAGCTGCTTTCTACGTGGAGAGGGAGGCCAGTGGTATCTGGTGGTGCTGGGAGGTCAAAAAGAATAAGACTTGAAAGAGAACTTTTGGATATAAATGGTGGTGAGTAGTCTGGACTGAAGCTTGGCTAAACGGAATAAGGCCATGGGCTTGAAAATATGGTAAATACAATGTGTGGACCATCTGCTGTGTGAATTGGAGTGAAAGGTTGTAGAGAAATAGTATAGTAGCTCCAGGGAACAGGTCGGTAGAGGTCTGGGAAGGGATTTGGAGGTGCTAGAGAAGGATACTAGGTAAAGTGTGGGAGGGTAGAAGGGGGAGAGGTAACAAGACAAGTAATATTTGATTTCACTGATTTTGAGAGAGAGAGAGAAAGGGAGGGAGGGAGGGAGGAATAGGGGGAGAGAGAAACATAGATTTGTTGTTCCACTTATTTATGCATTCATTCGTTGATTCTTTTATGTTCCGTGACTGGAGATCAAACCCGTAACCTTGGCCTATTGGGATGATGCTCTGACCAACTGAGCCACCTGGCCAGGGCCTAATTTTAGACTTTCTAAATTCTCACTGTTGGATCCTCTTTTATAAGCCTTTTTTCCCTTGCCCTAGTTTTTTATTTTATTTTTTATTTTTTTATTTTTTTTATATATATCTTTATTGATTTCAGAGAGAGGAAAGGAGAGAGAGAGAGATAGAAACATCAATGATGAGAAAGTCATTGATCATCTGCAGCCCGCATCCCGGGCATGTGCCCTGACCAGGAATCAAACCCTGATCGCCTGGATCCTAGATCAACACTCAGCCGCTGAGCCACGCCTGGCCGGGCTCCCTTGCTCTAGTTTTGATTTGAGGTACTGATAGTGCCCCGTACCTGGGTGCATTATAGGGCTAGGCTTAGGACATTGCTGCAGGAGTATGGAGGTGCTTTGGACATTTCACATAGTTACTGGTAGCCTGGAATTGATCAGTTGCTCAGTACAGTTGTCAGACCTGGGTTGTAATAAACCCACAGAGTTACTGTGAAAGGGAGTAATCAGCTGGTTGAGGGACACCCCCTTCTCAAATGACATACTACAATTATTCCTCTTAAATGTTAAGCTCTTTATTTTGGAATAATTCAGAGGGAGCTCAAGGAAAAGATTATACAAATGTTTGGGAATCTTTTATCTAACTTCTAAACTTAAGAAGTGATGAAATAGCAGGCTGTTTTTCTGACTTTTTAATTATATGAATAGTAAAATCAGTAATATAACTACTAAGGAAGCATATCACTTTCCCATCCGATCCTAAAAAATAAGTTAGTTATTTTCTAAGTAAATGTTATCCAAACATTTATATCATTACTTCTTTCATCAGATTTCTTTACTGTTAGTGAAAAAAAGGGTCTAAAATTTCAGAACTGTTCCTGAGGTTAATTGTTCTGGAAAGATAGTTCAGCTTATTTTGAAATTATTGAACAAGTTTTTTTGTTCTTTCCTTGTTGTGGGTTCTTTGTCTTTGGGGACTTTTCATGAAATGTAGACAGGTTCTTTATCTTGAGACTAGGGATTAATATCTTTTTTCTAATTCTTCTTCTTTTAGTTCATTACTATTGGTTACTGAAAGGTTTAATTCTTAGAGCTGCATATCCTGAGGTTTTTTACCAAATTACAGTGATTTTTACCCCCTTAAAAAAAGAGGACCCAAAAGATGTTTTAACTCATCAGTGATGGTTAGTCTTTCTGGGAAGGTGGTTTAGGCTAGTTTTGTACATATATAATGAATATTTGTCTGTACACCTGGGAAAAGGGAATTAACTTTTAATGATAATATTTTCCCCTTAGGGTATTTGAGTTACTTGTACGCAGACTATTCTCTTAATGTTTAGTTTTGTCTTAGCTGTAGAGGTATTTATTTCTGCCCTGGAAGTTAGTGCTTTTTCTATTCAGATTAAGTTATACTTTGTTTTGCTTATCTCAGGTTTTTGACCTTGGGAGAGAGAACAGTAAATTCTTGTTTCTTCATATTTACAGCAGGGTTTATATCACAATTTCCATCCTCAGGATTTTCTTTTTGAGTAAAAGTCAGTCTGTTCGTAGGACTGCTTATTGATTAATATATAAATGTGTGTGTGTTATAACTATTCCTGCAGCTTCCAGTAACTCAGACCCATAGAGTTTGCCACTGTAATATTTTAATTGTTGCTTTTTGGCCTAGACTCCTACTGGACTGAGCTTCTTGAGGGCTGTAATTATGTCTTTTCACTTGTGTTTTTCCAGCACCTAGCACAGTGCCTGAATTTAGACTTTAAAATAAATGAGTGAGTGACTGAATTTATCCCTTCCTTCTAAACTAGAATTTAAAATTTGTTTCACCATCTCATAAGGACAGCAATAACAATAATGAGCCATTTATACTTTTAAAACTCTTTGACTTCTATTACAATTGTATCTTCCCAACTATAGTGTACAGTATCTTCATCTGTAAACTAGGGGTTCACAAGTCACCTCTACTGAGTATTCCTCTGTGGAGGCTGTTCGTGTCTAATAGGAACTCTTGTCTCCACTAGGTGGTGAGCTGCTAGAGGGCTGAGTCCATCACAGGCACCGGCACATAGAACGCAGCTTAGGAATTTGTTTTTCTTTAAATCAGTAGGATGAAGGTCCCTTTCAGCTCTTATATTTTTCCATTCTTTGATCTTTATGAGTAAAGTTACTGAGTGAAATTGATGCCTGAACTGGAACCAGAGTGCTGGTCTGACTCACGAGGCCAGTGCTCCTTAATAAGAGTCTCCAGCCTGGGTTATTTTCTGTTTCTATTTTGTGATGTTTGAGACCAGTACCGTGCAGTGTGGAAAGGTCTGCAGAGAGTGGAGATAACGGGAAAGTTAAGGTGAGACAGGAGTTAAGGAAGTCGTATGTGATGCTACACTATTTGGAAGGGAGGGTCCATCATTCTTCAGGGAAGTCAGGTAGGGGAGTAGAAGATGATTTAGGGGACAGAACTACGTAAAGAGATTGCAGTCGGCAGAGAGCTGTGTGAATCCAAAGGATCCGTCGGGTGAGCAACTTCCTCAGCCTAGATGTGATAGCGAGTTCAGTAAAGAATGGCAGTGAAAGAAAAACACAAGATAGTTAACCCAGCCCCACTCAGATTTAGGGGGAGGTCCTGCTCCATTTCTCCTTAGTTTTTCTTTCTGGTAATTGGCTTGTTTCTGCCTAGCTGTGAAACTTCAAAGCTTAATTTTCCCCCTCAATGCTTGTAAAATGCATCAACAGTGACAAATGTAGAGAAAACTATTGTTATCTATAGCTCCTTTAATCCCTACCACCTGTAGTTTTTGAGAGCTTATTTCTCTACTGATAGGCAAATATAAGCAGTTAGAATATTTATGGTTTGAATTATTTTAGTATGACTTGAATTTTCTCATGTTTACCTCTTGTGTTAAATTTATCATTTAGCTCTATATTTTGTATTTTTATCCTGTGAGATACTCAGATTATAGTTACCGTGAGAGAATTTGCATTGTGTAAATGTTTTCTATTTTGAAGTGAAAGATACTTTCAGGGAGTCTATGTCAAGAACAGTTAGAAAAGTTCTCAAGTACTTGTGAAATAAACTTCAAAAGATGACTTAGATTTGTGGTAGAAGTTTCATTTCCATTTTAGACTTTTAGTTATAGTCACTTGAAGCTTGTGCCTAGTGTGTTATTCCTAGCTTGGTAAGTTTTAGAGATGAAGAAGCTTGTGTTTAGAGAAAATCAAAGGGTAGCATAGTTTCTAAATCTGAAAGCTCGAGTTTCCCCGTTTGTTGTCTTGGCCTTGACTAGAGGAGACAGTTGGTGTCAGAATTGGAGGAGATGGTTTCAGTGGTCAGCAGAACAAACTCTGGGCCCCACCTCTCATACTCAGCAATAAGGGGTTATTAAGGTTTCTTTTTACCAAGTAGTGGCACATCACTGATACCTGAAAAGCACAAATTTGAAGCTTTTGTTTGTTTGCTTGCTTTATAAAGTGCTTCATCTCTAGATTGGAGGCATCAGAAGGCAGGCCTCCTAGTTCACTGAGCTAGTCCCAGACTCTCACATGGTACCTGGTACAGAACAAGTCCGCGCAAGTGTTTTTCGATCAGATTCTTTATACTTAGTACTTTAGCGTATATTATTTGTAGCATAATCTTCACAGTAATTCTGTGGGTGGGTTGGGCAAAGTGTTATTTTTATTTTTATATTTATTTATTTATTCTTTAAATATATTTTTATTGATTTCAGAGAGAGAGATACATCAATGATGAGAGAGAGTCATTGATCGGTTGCCTCCTTCACACCCCCAGCTGCGGATCGAGCCTGCAACCCGGGCATGTGCCCTGCCCGGGAGTCAAACTGCGATCTCCTGGATCCTAGGTTGATGCTCAACTGCTGAGCCACGCCCGGCCAGGCCAAAGTGTTATTTTTAGATGAGAAAACAGATTCACAGAGACCAAGAGGCCTCTCTTGTGTAGTGGGTGGTAAAGCCTGAGTCTCAAACTAGGTTTTTTCACTTTAAGTTCAACTTTAAAAAAAAGAATCATACTTTCCTCTGGGTCGTAGGTCACCTTAGAGGGAAGAGGTTAGAAAGAGGGGGTGGAAAGTATGTTCTTCCCATCAGAAACCACTCATGAGGGAGGTGGCAGAGCAGGGCCGCTGGAGACAGAACTTCCTGGGTTCTTATTGCGGCTCTGATACTGGCTGGTGGTGTGACCTTAGTCAAGGAAGTCCATCTAAATTTCTCCTGCGCCCACTTCCCCATCTTCAAAGTGGATGTAGTAGTAGTAGTAGTAGTACACTTCAAAGGTTGTTGATGAATAGTAAGTCAAAGGAATTAATAAAGTTTGTTAAATAAATGAAAAATAAATATGAAGAATAGTACAATTACCATGAGCTAATAGAATTTAGGAAGTTACAGATCTGTGGCACTTAAGCTTCTGGTAGTGAGAAGTTGAGCGTGATCAGGTTTTATTTTGTTTTGCGTCAGAGTTGCCTTAGTCTTTGCAAGTTAACTGAACCCACCCCAGTTGCACTCATTATTGTCAACTGGAGCCATTCTCTTACCTGTTTTCATTTGAAATTTTTTTAAACCCCACATTTCCCAAATGATCTGCAAGAATGAATTACCCCATTTCCCTAAGAGCCTAATTATGGCTCATACTTTACCCTATTCAAATCACATAGCCCAGATGTATACATACTGTGAGACTTTATATTTACAGTGTGTACACTTGCTTAGCTCTCTTATTATTGTGTTGCTTTTTAAAATATGGTTCATAATAATAATGGCAGTCTTTTTTAGAGTTTACTATGTGCTTTGCAAATATCATCTCATTTAATCCTTGAAACAAAAAAAAAATGGAAACACCTGGGAGATAGATATTGCCTTATTGAGAAATTTAAGTTCAGAGAAGGTAACTTCCCCAAAGTGATATACTTGATTAAAGGTAAAACCACTATTTAACCTCTGACTTTGAAGCTCAAGCTCTTGACATCTATTTTATGCTGCCTCTGGCCTCTCCATGGAGAGTGTTGGTTTTAGAATTGTTAGTACCTGGAGGATGGGTTTCAGATCCGTGAAGCAAAATGTGCATAGAGGACTTCAGAGTCCTAGGGACAATGGACACTTAGTAAATCTGCTGTTGGAGAAGGGAGAGTGTTTAATTATAACACAATACTGATTTTGATGACAGACTGAATTTTCATTTTTAAAAATACTCAACTGAAGTAAAAATATATCTTCTTTTAGACATATTTTGTTTTTTAGTAGATTGTTTGATTGCTTCCATGTATGACCAATAGCTCTGCTGTATTGGAAGCTCTCTTTTTCTGTTGTTTTGTCAGATGTCTGATCTTTCTGCTTTGCTTTATACATTGTGTTCAGTCCAGGTGGCAGGTACAGGTCATCTTACATGCTGTTTTAGTCCCATAGATATTAAATAGAAGCTACTAATAAAAGGAACTCAGCAGAGCTGATTTGTTTGTGCTAGTACATGTGTTTTTCCTAGTATTATCAACTTTTTCTTAATAACATTAGTCCCAAGCACTTTGTGGCTGTAATGGTATCATTAAATTTAAATCCTCATAGACAGTCCCTATCTTCTATTTCCATAGACTTATCTTTGCCATTTTAAACTAGATGCACATATTAGAATCAACTAAGATGCTAGAATTTTATCTTTTCCCCAAGTTATAGAGTAATTTAATAACTACCCATTAACCTTGCCTTTTGTATTTTTAACTGTAGTACCAGAAGAAAACATTGCAACTATGAAGTATGGAGCCCAGGTTGTAAAAGGGGAGTTGAAATCTGCCTTACTAGATGGTGATACTCAAAATTATGATCTGGATCATGGATTTTCCAGGCATCCAATTGACGACGACTGCCGTTCTGGCATCGAGATTAAGCTAGGTCAGCCGTCGATTATCAATCACATACGGATACTCCTGTGGGACCGAGATAGCCGGTGAGTATGTCCTACTTGGAGAGAAACAAACATTGTGTTTGAGTGAGATGGCCTAACTGTGTGGTTATCTACTTTGGTTTTACAGATTTGATTTATTTCTTTGTGGTCACTTGGCTATTTCTCTTGAAGTTTTATTCTGGGGGAAGAGTTAAAGGGTATATTTCTTTAAAAAAAATAACACTTTTTTTGCTTTTTCTGCTTATAAAAGTAATGAATATATGTTTATTGTGGAAAACGTAGAACATAGAAAATCACAAAGAAATAAAAATTGCTAGTAATCTTACCACCCACTATTAATCTTTGTATATATCTAATCAGTGTTTTTTGTTATGCATAGTATGTCTCTCTCTCTCTCACACACACACACACACACACACACACACACACACAGAACAGAAACCAGTGAAACCACACATAATTTTACAAAATAGAGATTTGATGTGTAAAAAGCTAACTTTATTTTTTAATTAATACATTGTGAATATTCTTCCCTTTAAAATATTCCTCTAAAATGTTATGTTATATAGCTATCTGGTATTCCACCCTGTGGGTTCCCATTATTTATTTACTTGATTTCTTACTTTTGGATGTTATAAGAACTTTAAAAATGCATTTTATCTTGTGGATAAAGAAAAAAATGTTTTTTAGGGTGTGGTTAAATATCATCGTTAAAAGTAATTTGTGAAAAAATTTTGGTGGGTTCTAGTGTAGGAATCAACCCAGTTTTGCAGTAGCTTCCAGGTTCTGCCTGCCTTCCAGCCATTCTGATGCTTTCACCCACTGTGGTTTCTAAGGTTCAGTCATGGTGGCCAAAGTACCAGAGTAGTATGGGTGACCAAGACCTGAACTGTCTTATTGCTGCTTATTGTTAACCTAGACCCTGCATTCCAGAAAACTGATGCACAGAGAGCCCCTTAGGCCCTACTCATGCGTCTTTGAGTCGGGCCGTGAAGGGCTTAATAGTATTGGTGATGATACCTTGCAAATCTTGCAGGTTAGTTAATTTCTCTTGTTAGCACCAGCGGCCTCCACCCTGGCCTTTTAGGCCATATGAGCCATGCCTGAGGGAAGCTTTATGAAGTGGGAGTCAGCGTTTCCTGTGCTTGGGTCTTCAAGGTCCCTAACTTATCTTTGTTTCATTTTTAATTAATATATTTTGTGATACATATCTTATTGGGTATAATATGGTGTTTAGTTGGTAAAATGGAAGTAAATCACATGTCATTTCTGAGAGTGATCAATAGTATAATAATAACATATAGCACTTTCATTATTTTTATGTGGTAAGCTCTGTTATAAAAGCTTTACATATAGTCACTCGTTTAATAATGAAATTAGTGTAAAAATAATAAAAGAAAAGGTTGGTATGCTTGAAACTGAGAGTAGTTATCATATTTCCATGATGTTAAATATTTATAGGCCACTTGGTTTTACCATGTGCGCCACATTCACAGGGGACTTAAGTTTACCACATAGCCATTCTTTTCTCACTTGTTATCATTCTAAGCAAAGGTGAAAAATTCAGAATCTAAGCCCAAAAAGATTCCGACATGTGTTGTAAAATTATATCCTGCATTTCTGATAACCCAGAGAGGTTCAATAAAAGGTTATAACCAGTATGAGACTGAGCGATAAAATGAATGGGAGTGAGAGGACAGCAGAAAATGAGGGGATGACACAAAATAAGCTGACCTTTTCTGGTCACAACTGTTGGTTGCAGGCTGACATTTATGGCAACCTAAATCTTCTGAGATTGTTCCTGTTGATATTACAGTACAAGTAATAACTGCATCTCAAATTTAAATTTGTCTCATGACAGAGGAATATAGATTTGTTCAGTGTGGGACCAGCATGCAGTAGTCTGGTGTAGCTGACTAAAGGAGGGTGATAGGCTATTTTCATTACTACCAGGTTATTAGCTGGCAAATTTTAAGTTGTGCCCAAAAGAAACACGTATTATCTCTTCACCTGTGTCATTTATTTTCCTGCAGGTTGCATGTATGTGTGGGGCGGTAGGAGACTGGGAGGGAGTGGGAGGTGGGGAACCATTCAAGTTGACTTTCCTCCTGAGAGTGTAGGTCTGAGCTTCCAGGCCAGGGAAGGTAGAAGGAGAAGGCATGCCTACCTGTTTTCTTTCCTGTCTTTATCATGGCCTTATTAATCTGCTCATATGGTATGAGCAAGCTGTTCTCGTCCTGTTTGAAAAGGAACAAATGTCTTGCATGCCTGACGTGTGCCAAGCACCATGCTATAGCCTGGATATATAAAATATATACAGCATGGCCTTTGTTCTTAAGTAGCTTGTGATCTGATAAAGCAGACAGATGTGCTGAGAATTTTAGCACCTTGTGGTGAATGCTGTATTAGGGGGATCTATACAGATTTCATCATTATCCAAATTTGATTATTATGCAGAAAGTGTAATTTGTGAATAGTGTGTTTTTTGTGACCTTTAATGTTTTATTAAAGTATAACTCTATTATTTAATTTATTTTTAATTAAAATTTTTTTAATTTAATTTTTTAAAATTTATCTTTATTGTTGAAAGTATTACAGATGTCCTCCCTTTCCCCCCATTGACCCCCCTCCATTTCACTCCCCACTCCTGTACTGTTATTTTAATATGGTCCTTTTTTCTGCCTTTTTCCTTTTGATTCATAGGTCTTATTCATACTTCATTGAAGTGTCGATGGATGAACTTGATTGGATCAGAGTGATTGATCATTCACAGTATTTGTGTCGTTCTTGGCAAAAGTTATATTTTCCAGCTCGTGTCTGCAGGTTAGTTCTCATGGCTAATAAATGATTTTGATGTTTATTTAAGGAGATTTGGACTTTGAAAAACAGATTACATTTTTTTTGTCTCACAGAAGAGTTTTTCAGAGTATCAGCTACCAAATGCATCCCAACTAAAACTTAGGGAACTATGGAAAATTAAGCATTTAATACTTTGTGCTGTGGAACTGTTTATCCGAAGTGTTCTGTGCCATTTTTATGTAACAGGCATGTAGAGGAATAAGAAGGGGCGGGGACCCTGAGAAGTGGAAATACTTTCTGAACTGTGTGCTGTACCCTGAAAGCAGTGATTGTTAGGTGATACTCTCTCCCACAGAAGCCATAGAGTATTTCTGGAGACTTCCCTGGCAGTCCTCAGGGCCAGGAGGAGAGTTTTGGATGCCAGTGTGCATGTTCTGAATATCTATGTCCTTTCTCTAGGGCAGTGGATATCCATGGAATTTGACAGAGCAGGTGTTTCTAGTGGGGTAGGGCTTGGGGCAAGAGAGGCTGAGCAGTGGGGCTCCAGGCTCACACCCTCCCTCCATCAGAGCACCTTAGCTTGTATTGTTGTGATGTGTTGCAGTCCCATGATAGTTTGCTTTAAAAAGTACTGATAAACTACTGTCCTAATATTTCATATTCTTTAGATATAAGCCATATTTTAAACTTTGTTTCTGAAATTCTGCAAAACCTATATGAATAAGGAGTTTGGGAGTTGAGAAAGTGGTTAAAGGTCCCCCAGGTTGTGTTGTTTTTGTTATAATTTCCGCCTTGGAAATTGCCTTCAGATATTCTTTACCTTAGAATGAAAGGATCAAAGGCAGGTTCATTTGATGTGGTGTGGCAAGAAGGGAAGGGAAAGGATGTGGTAGGTGTAAGCCAGGGAGAATGTAGAGCCGATCCCCTTCCCAATTCACTCCTCTCCTTCACCTGTGACCTCCCAGTGTGGCTGATGTGGAGCAGGCAGGTGCCCCACAGCACTTACTCTCTTGGTTAGAAGACACCTTTATACTTACTAAACTCATGATCTGTCAACATCAGGCTGAATTCTTACTTCCATCACAGGAACTCCACAAAACCTTTCAGCCTCTGGTATAGTAAGGAATGTTGCCTACATTTTTTTATTATAGGTATGACCAGACACAATATTGTTATCCAGGGATCCTCTTGTGTGAAAATGAAGAAAATCAATTTCATTTTCCCAAAGGGGGAATAAAGTGTCTCAGGTCTGGCAGTTGCTCTTTTATCAGAGGAGTTTTGAATGGATTAAAATGAGAGGGACAAAAAAATTGAGTGAAGATTCTGTATCTCAGAGGTGCCTAGGGATACTCTGAGAGTGACAGAGGGGTCCTGACGTGGGGGACATGATTGAGTTTGCATCGACTCAGTTTATACTGTTGTATTGGATTAAGAAATAAGCAGTGTAACAGCCAAAGCGTTGATGTGGACTGAAGGACTGTGTACTTGTATTTAATTTAAAACAATAGGAACATGACTCCCAGAACAAATCATTGTGAATATAAAACCAGCCATGGCAGAGTCTGTGTGCTTTACCCATCTTAAAACATGTCCTCAGTTATGGTCTCTGGCTTTTAGAAGATATACTTCCCCTTATTTATTAATGGGCATTATTTATACTCCCCTTTCCTTATTTTGTCTCTCCTGGGTGGCCTTGCCTTTGTTGGTGTAGCTTTTATATGTTGTAGAGCTTGGCTGTATTCATGATGCTAGTTTTGTCTTGATATAGTCGGCTTCCAACTCTGGTCAAGAAAAACTGAGAAAAGGTCGCGTTAGAGAAAGTGTTAACAAGAAAAGGAAGGAACCTTGATGTTCATGTTAGTTAAAAAATTTTAAATATATTTATAACCACTTTAATGTATTATATTAATCACTACATTCCTTTATATACTCTGCCTTTCATAATCCTTTGGAATTTTGGTAGTATTTTAAAATGAACCTAACAATAAGTTCCTAATGATTATTCAAGGATATCTTCTACTTGGTGCTTCTTATCGTCACAGTCATTTTTCGACTACCTAAACAATGTGCTAAATACACTTCTAGCTTCACTAGGCACATATAAATTCTTTGTTTCTTTAGCACATCAGTGTTCAGTTTGCATTATGTCAGTTAATTTATTAATTTGTATGTCACCTTTGTTCTTCAGTGTCCTTCATGTGTTTGTCTTGCCTCTGATACTAAAATTACAAGCTCCTGGAATCAAGGAGTATGAATTCTAATCTTTTAGTATTCTTACACAGTATTCAGGTTGTGACCTTATATGCAGTAGGTACTCTATAAGTATTACCACAGGTTTTATGGGGTCAAGGCACTGACTGGGTAATGAGAGATTGCCTTGACGTTGATATGTACATATGTCCATTGATACTTTTAATCCGTGTGTTTGTTAAAGTACACATCACTGCTGGAAAACTCTGAGTGGTAGATGGTTTTGTACTGTTTGCAGGGGTTACTTTCTGTTTTTTACTTTAGGAAACTGAATTTAGAGTTTAATCCCAAAAGCTGTGAGTGTCATGTGTTTATGAAAGATTACATCAAATATATTCACAAAAGAAGAGATACTCTGTGAATTGGGGAGTATGAGATTACCCAGCCCTCTTTCTGAGTCCAGGCTGGACTGCATGCAAATCAGCACTTTGTAGTAGAAAAACCATGGCTGTGGAGTTAGAGCACTTCTCAAATCCTGATTTCATCTAATACTGGCATCTGTGATCTTAGTAAAGTTGTGCCTCTCCAAGCCCTCATTCAACACCAGTAAAAAACAGGAGCCCTGGCCAGTGTGCTCAGTGGCTAGAGCCTATTTTGGGCCAGACTCTGTGCAGACCCCATGAAGGGTATGGTTATTCCTGGGTGGTTTTTGTTTGTTTGTTAATCCTCACCTGAGGATATTTTTTCCATTGATTCTTTAGAAAGGGTGCAAAGGGGGAAGAGAGGGAAGGAG